GCACCACCGCCTCCTCCCCCGTGGCCACCGCCACCTCCACTCCAACCTCCGCCACCTCCCCCACCTCCAGACCAGCCCCCGCCGCCCCCTCCACCTCCGCCTTCAACGATTGTGGAGAAGGCCGCCAGACACACCGACGATAGGATCTGGAAAAACAGCGAATTCTGATGGTCTCGATATCCCCTCGCACTTAGTTCACAAATCGGGTCGTAGATCACGCGTTATCCTTCGAGTCTCCCGATAGACCTCAGATTCACTCCACAGCCGAGAAGGAAATACCCACCATCAGCCGCATGTCGAAGCGCGTAGGTGTTTTGGATGGAACGGTGTCTGGGAATGCGGAGCTTTTAAACCGCGCGGCCGCCTCGGGTGAGGGTGCATTCCGGGATAGCTCGGTTTGGTGCGACGGAGTCGTCTCCACGGAGCAATGGGAAGGACGGATCCATCCTTTCTCCCACGAAGAACCATGGCCGTGCTATCCCGAGATTCTATGATCCAAGGTGAGATGAAGGATAAGGATGGGGTAATTCCGTCGGCAAGTCAGAGAATGAGGCGTCCTTCCTCCGTCATTATGATAGTCATGAAACATAATCGTCTTTGGGGATAGGGGATGGGGTCCAGTGATACGGTGTCTTAGTGTGTATGGATCAATGAAACCATGATCTTCATCTGCGGGACTGATGTCGCGCTGGAAACTCCTGAATACATGCCGAAATCCTCGCAGAGATCGTTCGTCGGGGGATATGTACTCGCCCATCACATCTTTTTCAGTTTGCAGTACATTTCGTCTAGCTTGATCCCGGAAACAGAATTCATTACTCGCATCCGGTGCTCGCATCTCTACATCCAGATCCAATCAAAGATCCTTCACGCTTAATTCGCAGATATCAAAATTTGCCATTGTGAGAAAGGCACTCGCGAGGAAAACAAGCTCCTCAAGAAATTATGCAAGCGGTTGGCAACAGCATCCTTATGAATGAGTGCGTCGAGAAGAAATTCATATTCCCGATTTTTTTCATCGTTTTTATCGATAGCGTCATTGAGAACTCTTCTTGAATCACATGCAATGTGCGAGAAGTGCAGATCGTTAAGTTGAGTGGCATCACGGCGACGCGCGGCTGTCAAACGACAGGCAGCCTAAATCGCGGATGAGCCAGCTGATTCCTCCCGAGATGAGGAACGACGACAAATGTTCGACGAGTTTCCACCCGGGAGCAGTAGTCAGTGTGCTTCCCAATCGTAGCTCTCGCAACCGGATCGGATCGGCGGGAAGCCAGCTCGAGTGCGGATGGTAGTTCCGTAAGGTTATGATTTTTCGCTAACTCGGTCGTTTAGTCTCATTCAGTCGGTCGTGGGCTTGATAGATAAAAAATACCCTCAACCATCGTCCCCAGTGCCAGTAACGCGTTCCGAGCCGGGGGTGATTCGTTCCTTCAAGAAATTGCTATCCCCACCCCCTAAAGCGGCTTTTTTCGCATGAATAAAGAGCTTCTGAGCGACTAAAGCGCGAAGTTGGTATCTATCGCGCTGACAATCCGGGCTTGGCACGTCAGTCGTCAAGTCGTGTTATTCATGACTCCAATTGAAGGGAAGCAAATTCATGATTGAAGCCCGCGGAGACAGAGAATTGTTGGGCAACTCGAGCTTGGGCTGCCGAAACTGATAATTGCGGACGGAGCAACCTTCTGCTGCCGTCTAAGATTTGGGCTGTCTTCTGACTTGATGGTCTTCGGGGTTGAACTTCTCGCTGGGACGTCCCTGACAGGAGATCAGCGCAAGTCGAATCCTACCCTGAATGGATTCTACTTGATCGCCACGACGGATTGTCAAAGTCATACTGCCTTCTCTTCACTGGGATTGAGTGACATTCCCTCTCACCGAAGATGGGGGGAAATGGAACTCATGAGATATTCATTAACGATGGTATCGCTGCTGAGAAAAGGCAACCGAATTATTCGAGAAGTATCCCAGAAGGATTCGTGGAGTCTGTCGGACATGGGCAAGACGTGAAAACTCCTTCCGCGAACTATGGTCTTGTCAAGCATCTCAAGTGATTAGAACTTCTAACGAGGACCGAGCTCCTCCAATGAGGAGCTGGGAGACTCCCGAGACTTCTATCTGAATCCTCTTTCCGGCTTCAGGGAGCTTGGGTGACAA